TATAAATTAATTATATGAAAGTGTTATATTATGTTACATTATATATATATATATATATATATATTACAATTTTATATAATTTTCTATTTTTATGAGAACTTTTTATGATAATTTGATGCAAGCTTTTCGCTTTCGTTATGCATCAAATTTAAAGATCTTATAGATAATTTTTATTATTAATTGGCGCATGCATATAGTTTGAGTGATTATCGCCCGCACGTTCACACAATTAATAAAGTGTTAGGTAATCATTGCAACGTGTCTCTTCATGAATGAAAAGTGCACTATCAGCAGAGGTGCAAATCATTTCCTATAATGACACAATTATTTCTCGGCTGGCAATTATTTATATGGTTAATTAACCGCAACCGTCCATAATTTCTTTTCGGATTCGGATTGGGTTTAGCAGCAGGAACTACAAGTGACCGAAGCGCTTAATCGATATTTGTTTTAATTGAAAACGGTATAACTTCGGTTTCAGTAAATTTATTCTAAGCCACTGGCACGAGGGAGTAATCTCCGTGTATTTATTCGCGTTGATTGTCAAAAGAACACTGTAATCTTGACAGTTAAACTTAACGAAATCGTCTTTGATTCTCGCTGTATTCCTCGCATGTATTTCAGTCGAAATGGAAAACTGACTGAATCTTTCGGCAGGCGCGACACAGGAGATTCAATGTCGCAATCATGCGACATTAAATCAAAGCGCGTCGTCGGAAGAGCGATTATCGCGGTAATTACGATAAGCAATTTCTTCGTTCGCTTTTGCATCAAATTTAATTGGAGAACCTTGGATCATTGACTTTTTTAACACTAGTTCTCTCTCTTTCTCTTTGCATGTGCGGCCGTTGTCATATGAGCTGTCTCGCGAATATACCGGACGTTTCCGCTTCCTCTTGTTTCTCGTAAAAACGTTTTTTACGTCGTCCTCGCGAAACCCTTTCGACCTTCAGTCAACGATCGCTTCACGTGCAACAATACGTTTTGTTGCGTCATTACGATTAACTGTAACGCGGTCCTCCAGTAATGAGACGCGGGACGTATTGCGAGTATTCTGTTTCAACTGTTACGTGCTGTTCTCGTTAGAATCTTGCTATTGCATTCGAGGATTTTGTGATAATGCCGAAGATGTATGTAAGATTCTTATACATTCGGGAAATAAATAATGAGATATCTTTCAATTAATTTCAAGTAAAACATTATTCACTTAGATCCGTAAAACTTCAGTTATATTTAATAGCCCAAAAAATTATTGAAAAATTATTAAGAAGAAAAACAATGCAATACTTCCGGGAAATGAGTAACAAAATTATATGATTATCTTCTCATTAATCTCGAGTGAGCATTGTTTACGTGGAGCTTCCATCTAGTAATTAAAAATCGCAGAAATTAAACCTGTTTCTCACGATGGAATTTTTCGTGCGAGTTTACCTGCGAGGAGCTCGCAGCGAGAAAAGTTGCTTGCCGCGTAGCCTGCACGGCGGCTGGCAGAGCTCCTCGCAGGTAAACTCGCACGAAAAATTGCATCGCGGAAAATTTTAGTTAAAAGATTATTTAAAAAAAAAACGGCATTGTTGGCGTAGTCGACCCCGCTACAGTTATATAGGAGCTTTTACGTGGACGATAGTCGCACGTTTTCGATTACTCCGCGACTGCATTATCAGAGCCATCAGTGGTTCGGCCAAAGATGATAAGAAAGATAGAACGTTTGTTGTTTTTGCGGAAAACATGGCGTTTCCGCAAAGCCCTCCTCCCATGATCCTCGGCGATAACGCGAATGTCCTGTCGACGTGTTGATCATGAATGTAACTCGTACAGCGGCAGTGGTCATTGTCAAGGCCGCCTCGTGTATCTTGCATAATACGTACGCGTGTACGAATGCAGCTCGAGCATGGCACGCAAACAGCGATTGGCTCGGCGCTAATTCAGCCGCATCTGTCACTCTTCCCGTCCGCGCTTTATTCGCATTTGAATATATCGTTAAATCTTCATAATTTTTCGCATAATAACGCTTGACAATTGCGCGAACATCCACGGCTATTTATCATCAGCTCCGACAGCGTGACAGCTATTCACAACGTTTTTCCGCTCACGTTCACGGATGCTTCTAATTAATATGCGGTTTCGAAGATAAAGCAGGCGATTAATCCGTAATTATCGCGACGCGATTTGATGTATTCTTCTTTTACGTTTGTAATCTTAATACACTTGCGATTTTTCATAAAAATGTCGAGCGCTATAGGATCATTTTTAGACGTGTATATGATTTTCGATTATTAATAAGTTTAGGTGATACGTATAGAAAGACGAGCTGGAAATTGTTTGATAAATCTTAGTAATATAATACGTATAGTAAATAGCTATGCTGTACAACAGCTGTTTTAAGAAATAAAACTTACAGACGTCGTTTCAGAAAATCTCGTCTTTAGGACATTTTTTTATAAAATTCTAAAAACACACTTAAAGACATTTTTAGACACGTGTGTCTAATAATAATAAAAACGTCTTACGTGAATTTTAGTCTGATACTTAAGGACGCAAAAAATTGTTAAAAAATTGTTTAAAAAAGGACGACTCAGGTACTCTGTCATTAGAAAGATCCACTTGGCGATAATCAAAGGATTTACACGTGGACGATACTCGCGGATTTGCGATCTAGATAAGATCGAGATCGTAATCGAAGTATAACGTAACGATATTTTACATTGCTTATTGTTTCTCGTAATTTAAGCGATGTATTGCGTGAGAGATTGTTGTTTTTTTCGTTTTGATTGACTTTGACAAATCCGCCAAAGGGACAGTAACAATTCTTAGCTTTTTTTCCGTACGTTATTACGTAATTAATAATCGAAATTACAGACGTCTAAAACCGATATTAGGATTCTATATAATCGCAATTAAAAAAAATCATGCCTATTATGATTACGTTGACACGTGTGCGGTAGAGAGTTCGTGATGTAACACCGCACTTTCCGCTTCATCGCCGACTTCGTCGCGGACATTTCCGCCACGTCTTTCATCCCAAATCGGTCCACTAAATCTAATGACTTCGCTGGATGCTTGACTGATTCTCGGCGAAAGTTTGCGCGAGTTCGACGGCACTTTTGCAGCTCTCGCGCAATGAATTGCGTCGACGAAATGATTTTGCAGCAGTATCGTTCTTTAAAAGTTAGTTGGCTTCTAGTAACGCGAGAGTGGAAAGATAGACCACCGATCTATCAAAATATAAATATTCTGTCGGAAGAATATACGCGTGTGCGGGTAAAATTACTCAGAGTGTAAATCGCGCAATCGGGAGAAAATTTATTGCCAGTGACTATTGCAAAATTCATACGCACAAAAAAAGAAGTGTCAACTCAAAACTTATGTACTTGTATATATGCAACGATTTATAATCTATTTTTATAATCATAATAAAGAATACTATCTAATTAGCACTACACTTCAATGTGCATACAATTCGCACGCAGCCACAGGCTCGTTGACATCGTCTCGTGTGGTGGGGTGTACGCATCGCGTAGCTAATAAGACAATCGTTTTTTAACAAACGCGCGTGCCACTAATATCTTGCATATTCTCTTATTTTAAGGGGGAATATACACCTAGAAACGAAAAAAAAAGGTAATTTTTGGGATTTTTTTTCAGGGGAACTATTGGAATTGTCGGGTCGGGGTTTTTTGTAGTTAAAAATACACACTTTCAAGAATGTTTTAAATTTTTTTTATTAAAAAATGTTGCAAATTTACGGAGTACTGGAGTCGTCTACTAGAGCGATCTTGAAAATCGCTACGTTGAGTTCAAGCGCCCGCCATTTTGTAAAAAATCAATATTTTTAAAATTGGCTACGACACGTCAAAGATAATAGTATCTATTTTCATTTCCTGTTTGATTTTTTTGTTTTAGATGATTTTTGACGAAGCGCCACTGGGTACCGTCTTTTTTTACGGCACTCCGTAGACGACTCCAGTACTCCGTGAATTTGCAACATTTTTTAATAAAAAAAATTTAAAACATTCTTGAAAGTGTGTATTTTTAACTACAAAAAACCCCGACCCGACAATTCCAATAGTTCCCCTGAAAAAAATTCCCGAAAATTACCTTTTTTTTCGTTTCTAGGTGTATATTCCCCCTTAAGAGGCTATTCGGATTATTATAGTAGAATTTGCTATAGAGGAATATACTCTTGATTATAACTCACGCATCCACTCTTTTATAAAGTAATACGTCTTACTTAAAGAAAAATATGCTTTATGTAAGATTTTTTGCTTAGAAGAAATGCTTAGAGGAATTTTCCACTTATAAGTAGAATATGTTTTTTTGAGTGAAGATAATTAATAGACTGTTGCGTATACATGAATATATAAATCTTGATTTGATACTTATTTTTTTTTTATGTATGCGATCCGAAAAATGCACACGTTTAACAATATGCGCGCCCGATCAGTTATCATACTTTAATTCTTCTTTTTCGGATAGTACAGCTTATCAGTCGCGATTGTA